TGTGGATAATAAAATAGATAACAATTAATAGGAATAAAATCATAGTTTTGTAAGATTTATTTACCTACTGCTCAAAAAGTATTCGGATTTTGTAAATAAAACACACAAATTTAAATTTTATTCCAAATTTATTTTATCTTCTTCAAAATATGCTCCTTCTGAAGCGATACACATATACCAATGCTTAACCCAATCTTCCATACACTTTTAGTTCCTTCGGCGAATTCTCTTTTACCGATTCAATCGACTCAAAACGCTTACCACGGAGGGGCAATTTGAGTTTCGGGAACAGAAAAAAGTTGCACGGCGCCAGATCTGGCGAATATGGTGCCTGAACGATAACAGTGGTGCCGTGTTTGGTCAAAAAATCGCGTACAACAAGAATTTTCCTGATGTAAACAAATATAATATATGTTATATATTCTTGACATATACCATATGTCAAGAAAGGGTGTACCAACATAATAAAAAAGAAAAAGGTCTACTTGAAAAAGGCCTATTACTTAAGGAGTAATTAACAAACAAAAAAATTCGGAGCAAAAGGTATATAATTTTAATTAGCGAATAAATACATTGACGGTATAATGCATGCAGAACTTTCTTATAATAAAACAAAATATAACAACAACTATTAAGAAAAATTATTATTTTAAATAAATGAATGAAAATATATTAGAACGCATGACAAAGAAGTAAGTAATCACCGACCATTTCCATCAAAAATTTAAAGTCAGAAATTTCAGATACTGCTTCTAATTGAATGTTTGATTGGAAATAACAATCATTAACTTTAACTGAACTCTCCAGATTCAAAAGTGAATCCCAAAAGAAATTTTGGTAGTCTACTTCACGGTAGTATCCCAAACTCTAAAATTAGCTATTAGCGTTAAAACCATTTGTTACGTTGTCTAAATATTCTACAATATTCTACATTAAGTCTAAAGTTAAGTTATTCCCTTCACAACTACAAACGGACTATAATTATACACATTTCATGATACTTGAAAATATTAAAAAAAAAGTCATTCTGTTGGAAATTAATACATACGATTGAGCTTATGTCTACCAAATCTTTCTTTTCATCAACAAGAGATACATAGTACCGAATTATTTAAAAACAGAAAGTGGTTGCTTGTTAAGAAGAAAAATGTGGTAAGTTATAGAATTTTTAGTCAAAAAATTGGTCACAAGTGTCGTGTGGTATAAACAATTTTTATCGTCAGTCAACACTTTCTCATAGTATTTATATAATATATGATAAAAATATGGTAAGCTAATGCTAAATTACAATTTTATGTTTCTAAAAGATGCAAAGTACGTTTTTGGCAGACAGAGAACCTTTCATCCGAAGTCATCCGAAGGTATTATCATAAAGCTTCCAAAAAAGTGGCGATCTCACAGAAAGAAATAATTGGCGAGGTATTACTCTGCTAAACATGATTAATAAAATAATAGCGCATGTCATCACCAACAGATTTTCAACAGCATTAACAGCAATGCTGCGCAGAGAACAAGCCGGATTCCGCCCACACAAGTCTTGTATTGATCACACAAACAGCCTAAGAATAATCGTCGAACAGTCTGTAGAATGAAGATCAACTCTATATTTATTATTTATAAGTTTCAAGAAAGCCTTTGATAAACTATGTCACACTGTCATTTGAAACGCGCATTGGGCAGAGGCATTGGATCAAGGTGGCGGAATAACTTGGGGTCTTCAAGATAGCTTGTGTGATCTCGGTTACATCAATAACTTATGTCTGATCGCACACTGATATAATGACATGTCTCGCAACCTAAATCGTTTGATAACTACAGCAAACAGAGCGGGACTTAAAATCAATGTTACGAAAACAAAAGTTATGCGCATTAATGCTAGCGTCCAAGATCCTTTTATTATAAACAACTGCTGTCTTGAGAATGTAGAGTCTTTTTGCTATCTTGGAAGCATCATATCAAAAAATTGTGGATGCAGTGCGGACATTGAGAACCATATCAAGAAGGCAAAACAAGCGTTTGGTTGCTTAAATAAAGTCTGGAGATCTTCTCGGCTATCGCACCGGACTAAAATACAAATATTTAACTCCAACATACCAGTACAAGTTTTCATAAATCAGTCACTACGTAAAACTTTTAAAGTATTCTGGTCAAATACAAATTCAAATGAACGTCTATGGTCTCTAACTCAACAAACACCTATAAAAACCGAAATCAAAAAACGCAAATGGGAATGTGTCCGTTACACTTTGCAATGTTACACATGCGGAAAAGCTAGAGAGAGTTGAAGCTATTGGTCACCAATCGTACCGAGTGGAAGATATTTGCTGCGGCCCTATGCTCCTCCTACATGGTAGGCACCTTGACGTGGTGTAGGGGCTTAGCTACAACTCGGACTATAAATATGAATATTCGCAATCACCTGGCATTTGTCAGACGACTGTGAATTTTTAACGTTTCTAGAACGAGGTGTACAACCAAGATCTACCTTTAGGTAGTTTTGTGTTGTCATGTAGTCTATGTTTTGTTGTTTTATGTAGTTGTGTTTGTTTTATTTTACGTAGTATTTGTAGTAGTAGTAATTTTATGTGTATTAGTAGTAACTTTATGTAGGCTGACTGACGTGGTCCGAATGGCTACTATAACATCTTAGCGTCTCGGGGAGTAGATGAGTCTTTGCATTTTGGTGCTACTCATTAAGTTCGTTAGTCAATCGATCGGCCTTTAATGGAAGTTTAGTTGTTTGTAGGATCGATGACCCCAAAGCAGTTAGGTCATGTCTCTGCTGGTTTTGGGGTCGCCAGCAACTAGGCGGGGTGAAGGAAAACACCCTGGGTTTGATTGAAGATACGAAACAATCTATAGTTTTTGTACCTAGGATGTATGGTGTATGGTGTAGTATGTGTGTATGTATGAATGAGACCCGAACAACCCCCCAATCTACGGTGGAACAGCTATGCCTGTAAGAACTTGGTCACGGGGCTAGTGATGACCTTAATAGCGAACTGCGGATACCAGGCGACCTCCGCTTTCAATTTGCCTTCTGTCGGTAAATGGGCTCTGCCGATGGCGACTTTATACTTCCCTAATACTCGTGGGATATCATATGGATACGTCTAATGAACAAACTAAAGGGGATGATGCTACCCTTATCGCATCAAACACTACTGCTGTCGGGCAGGGAATTAACAACGACCAGTCGACTGTTGTGTCACAGGTCAGTGAACCTTTTGAAGATGGTGCTGTTGGGCACATCTGCAAAAATATACACGCTGTGGAAAATGTTGTTTTTCCACAGTATACTGATGCTAGCAGCACAGAAACTGAAGGGTCTGATGCTGCCTCTATTGACATTGACGGAGTCAGTCTCTGTTCTCAACAGTCAGGTGCTACTGTTGTCAATGTTTGTATGAAAGGGATCAGTTTACATGACCAGAAGGGTTTTGTGAAACTGAACTCAATGCAGAAGAGGAGGTTAAAGGCTTACATGAGTCAGGGACACTCTAGGGATGTGGCCCTAGACATGGTTTCTAAACTTCCAACTCGTGCGCCAGCTAAAAGGGCTTTATCTGACGACATGGTCATGCCAGCTGGTAAGAAACCAAAACAAAACACCTCGATTCAGGGATCGAGTAAACCCTCTTTCAGCCAAGTAGCCAGTCAAGCCAAGGGGATCAAATTAGGATTTGTTCCTTTTGATTTGGCTAAGTGCCCCCTAAACAGGGAACAGACTGCACAGCTACAGGAGGCTATAATTGAGACTGCCATAGAGTTGGCGTCTGACGAGGTTAAACCAGAATTTGAAGGTTGTTTCCCTCGTACGGGATGGCTCATGAAGGTGTGCACAAATAACCAAACGGCTGAATGGGTCCGTAAAAATGCGGCAGCTATTGCAACAAAGGCTAAACTGGGCGCCAAAGTGGTTGAAGAGTCGGAGTTTCCAAAAACACATCTGGTGCGAGGATACTTCCCACACAGTTGCGATTTTGAAAATACCAAGGTTCTTGCCACAATTGAGGCCCAGAACAGGATTAAAGCAAGCACCTGGAAGGTATTACAGCGGACCGCAGAAGGTTCACTGCTCCACATCGTCTTTGCTGTCGACGATGCATCCTGGAACTCACTGGTCCAGAGTGGAGGTAGAATTGCATATCGCTTCAGCCATGTCAAGCTACTGCTTAAAACTAACAGTATGACAAAGGAGGGGCAGCCAGAACAACGGCCTGTGGAACAAAAGGTTCCAAATAAACTCCAGATCACAAGGACGGAGAAACAGAAAGTGGAGCACGTGGTCCCACAATCAACACTTACGTCTATTGTGAATCCAAATGAGGCCCCAACTACTAGTAGAGCCGCCATTCAAAAAAGGCTTTGGATGCGGCCACCTGTGGGTGGAGCATCAACAGCTCCAAAAGAGCGCCAGAAGGAAAAAGGGCCACGAAGAGCTCGACTTCAAAAGGAAGTCGAACGCTCTCTCAATAAAACTCAACAAAAATGAGCACCATAGGGGTGTTACAGGCGAACCTGCACCACGCGAAAGGAGCATCGGCTACCTTGTGCAGGACCTTCGCCACAAAAGGACTGGCCATAGCGCTTATCCAGGAGCCATGGACAGTCGGTGGGCATATAAAAGGCCTTCAACATCAATCAAGTAAGTTGATATATAAACGTGACATAGAGTCGCCTAGAACTGCTATACTAGTAAACAAAAATGTTAACTGTATTCCAATTCCAGATTTCATCCAGAGGGACTTGGTGTCGGCCATTTTTGAGATCCCGACGGAGTGCGGAACACGTGAGATCGTGATCGCATCGGCCTACTTTCCAGGCGATGCAGATGAAGCACCACCTGAAGCAGTCACAAACTTGGTAAGTTATTGCAAATCCAATAATTTAC